GTTACTCTATTTTATCCAAATTGTAAGTTGAACAAGAATAATGATGAATGTGTATCCTCTCTAGAATACTCTAAGATTGTAGGTAGTTTAATGTACATAATGAATTGTACAATACATGATATTGACTATTCAGTAGGAAGATTGACAAGATACACTTGCAATCCTGGGCATAATCATTGGAATGCATTAGTCAGGGTTTTAAAGTACTTGAAGTATATTTTAGACTATGGATTGCATTATACAAAATATCCTTCTATATTGGAAGGATTCAATGATGCTGACTGGATATTTTATAGCATGAAAACTAAGTCAACCAGTGGATATATATTTACTTTAGATGGTGCAGCTGTGTCATGGAAATTTTCAAAACAGATGTGTATAACACGATCTACTATGGAATCAGAGTTTATAGCTCTTGATAAAGTTGGAGAAGAAGTAGAATGACTTCGAAACTTTCTTCAAGATATTATGTTGTGGCCGAAGCCTGTAAATTTCATGTATTTATTGTGACAACTTAGCAGTCTCAATGAGAGCTAAGAATAATGTCTACAATGGGAAGTCACAACACATAAGACGCATATATAATTCTACTAGGGAATTGCTTTCTAATGGAATAATTTCCATTGATTACGTAAAATCAAAAGAGAATGTTGCAAATCATTTGACGAAAGGATTGTTAAGAGAGCAAGTTGCATATACATCGAGAGAAATGAGACTAAAGCCTATGGAATGAATTATCTGGTGGTAACCTAACCTAGTTGACTAGAGATCCCAAGATATAGGTTCAATAGGCAAACTGACTAGATAATTCATAGTTGACACACTTAGAAACTTATAGTTTCTTCCCATTTTTGTGATGTTATGTGTGTGATCTGTTGATGTTAAAGTCATATTGATATCTTGATTACAAGAGGGGTAGTGGTAGAATACTCTTAATCAATATCACCTATGTGAGAGTGGAATTGGATTGGTTCTATGAGAACTTTTCAAATGGCTTATGTTCTCTAAAGCTCTCATGAATTCAGGATCTTGTCCATGACCAAAATGGACACAACCGTATAGAACTCAAAGATACAAGATAAGTTACGTGTGATATTTGTTGTTTCAATTTATCACGTGAAGGATAGTTCCATAGCTAGTTCTCACTATTTCTTCAATAAATTCGATCGATATTCACTAAAGAAGGTTCAAGTCCAAAAGACATTTCTCCTTATGCATAACTTAACTATTTGCTCTCACGTCTTGGTCGTGTTTTGTCTGTCTCACTTTCTTTCATGTGGGGGATTGTTGGTTTTTAAGATGTGAAAGAAAGTGAAAGTTACACATTGTGAATATGTTTATTACTATAGTGGTTTTGTTTCTTTATTTGGTAAGTTACAAAGTTACACATTTGTAACTTTATATAACACATATATGTTAAACTTAAGTTATTTCTTAAGTGAGAAGTTTTTTATATTTATGTGTTAAAGTTTCATATGTAAAAAGGTTACATATGTATTTAATTTTGAGTGAGAGGTTACTTGTTTGGACAACTATATATAGTTGTGGATTTCTTCATTTTGAGATATCCACGCATACCACAATTGAGTATTCTCCTCCTCTTACAAGAATTTTTTCTTCTTTTAAGTTGTTGTTCTTATTTGTTTTTAGAGCAAGTATCTAAGAGTTCTGCTAGATCCGAATAGTTCGAGGTTGCTGTTCTACCGGAGTTAGTCGTTATATCCTGCTGAGACAATCACTGTAGTCTGTTAGCAACTAGTGTAGAGCGAATAATTGTCTTCATGCCAGCATTACTAAAGCGTGTCTCGATTATATATATCAAGTTTTGGTGTTCATCAAATTGTTAGTATATATATTGTTTGTAGCCAGTTACGTTGTAATCTGTTTGCTAGTATTACATAGTTTTTATATACATCATATATTTACCCAACACAAACCAGTGGAGGTAGGGGAAGATAGGGATTCAAACTCATAATCTCTTGGTAAGAGACACTACCAGAAAAATGTCCTTTAGCGATTGAAATTATATTTTCATCGTTGGACTCATTCAAAGACGAAAAGCATCACGATGCAACAAGAGTCGTTGGAGCGGTGTTGCAATTGGACTCCAGCAACAAAAACACGTACGTCACACTACTTAGGGACGAAAGCACGTTTTGGTCACTCATGCGACGTATAGAATTTTTGTCACTAAAGCGATAAAACAGTATCTCATTGCTAGGCAATGCAACAAAAAGTATGTTTTGTCACTTAAGTGACGAATGCTTTTCATCGCTTAGATTCCATATGCAAAGAACTATTTTCGTCGCTCCTACAATTTTTTTTCTTATACGTTTTTCCTTTCTTTTTTGTACTGATTGTGATCGACGTTTTGCAATTTCGTTGTTAAATATAACGACACTCTCATTATTTCGTCGCTAAAAAAGAAAATCTAAACTTTTATCTACTTGACATTATTTATGTCCTGCAATTGTAAAAAATATGATGAATGATAATAGAAGTGAAATAAAAATCATATTATACTTCAAAATCAAAGATAAATGTATAATGTCACAATATAAACAAAAAACTATACCTACAAAATGATAAGAAAAATGTCAAAATCACAAGTGCCAATTACCAAGCTCATGTTGGCAGTTGTCTTTATGAACTAGGGAAGTAGGAAACACATAAGAATTAATTCTTAAGGCAAGTGACTATCATGAAGTCTGAACTGTTCCTTCTCACTTTACCCTAGTCTCTTTAAACCAATGAGCTGCCCAGATGGTTTGTTAACTAGTCTCTCCCCCAAACACCTCATTTAATCTTGCAGATTGAGAATATGACAAACTACTAAATTGAAAGAGAAAAAACAAAAATAAAAATTGAGACCAAAATAGGATTATGAAACCACTTTTTTGTGTTTCCTTATTTTCAAACTTAGGTATTATTGCATGCAGTGACATGTCTTAAAAAGTCAAAATTTAAGCCTCTAATAACATCTCTAAAAAAATTAAATTTTAAAAAAATCAAAATTAAAATTGGACCATTTAGGGGGAAAAAATAAATAAGAACGTCTAAAAAATTCAAAAAGAGTGGGAATGGTTGTCAGCGTAAGTCAGCAAAATGGGGCAATTAAATTGTTAGTCAAAGCCAAAAAGAACATTGTGGGTCATTCTGTGGATATATATATATATATCAAGGTTTTAAATGTCGATGTGGACGGAAATATCAATGTCTCAATTTTATGGGAATATCGATAAAATGTCAATGTCGATGGATATTTTTGTAAAATTTAGAAAAATTAAAAAATTTATAAAAATATTTAAATTAAGATAATAAACGTTTTTCTGTTTCTAAATTAGTTAAAAATAATTAATATTGATATTATATATATATTAGTGATATTTTGTTGATATTTTTATATTTGATCGATTTTCTTGTACTATAATAGAAATGTCGATTTACTTCTCATGTCGATGTCGAACTCGTGGAAATATGAATATGTCGATGGAAATGTCAACGTATCGACGAATATTTCGAACCAGGATATAAACAAGTTTTTGAAAATTCATTTTCAGATTTTAAATTTTAAAAATCACAACAAATGGATCACCAAACGGATATAAATAATTAACTTTATTATTTTTTCACTCAAGATTTTTTTTAATCAAACAAATTAGAAATACTAGAATTCGAACATCCGATCTCAATTGAGACTTTAAGTTCGAGAGTGGAAAGGAAAAAGGTTTATTGAAAAGGTGAGTTTGGCTTAATTCCACTATCCTATCAATATCATCTTAGGACCATTACCAAAGATTTTGATGTTTGGTCAATTTCAAATCTCATACTTTATATATGCTTTTAACATTACAATCAAATAACAACTTGATATGATATTAGGATACAACTCATTAATATTGTGTATTTTAAGGTTATATATATTATATATAAAGTTAGAATACAAGATGTTTCCCTTGTCTAGAAAAATTTCTAGTTTTACCTCAGCACGTAGATCTTTTTCCTCGTCGACTTAATAGTTCAAATGAAATTATAACTTTTTAAAATTAAGAAACTAAATAAACATACCTACCAAAATGTAAAGGTTAAATTTATAATCTCACCTAAAATGGAGAGTTCATATTTTGAAAATATAATAAAGAAAAAGAGGGACGTTGGAAATTAGATTTAGGTAAAAATTAAATGTTGATATCCCAATTAGAAACATGTAGCAATCAATATTCAATATGCAAGAGTGGACTTTGGATACTGCTTCCTTTTTTAGTTTTAATTTTTTCAAAGATAACATTATTTGAGACAAAGATTCCAACTATCACCATCCAACAGCCTTCGGTTTACACTTAAAGATTCGAACCCATGACATTTGAGTAGAAGATAAGTACTTCTTGAGATTGGTAGTGTCCATTCACACTTCTGCTAAAACCTATTTTGAATTTTGATTCTTCCATTTTTCTCCTTTTTGGCTTTTAAAAAGCAAAAATAGAAATATAGTTTTAACAATTTTTCATCTCTTAGTTTTTAAATTCATTTACTATTCCATTTTTTTAAAACTAAAAGCTGATCCAAAATGAAAAACAAAATAATTATCGACACCTAAAGAGTATTTGTGTTTTATGAGGAACTTTGAGTTCCAAATGTTAATGTGTGTTTTGAGTTCCAAATGTTGACTGGAAAGCAATTAAAAAACATTTTGAAAGTGTAAATTCAAATATCAAAAACTTGTTATTGAGCATTTTTTATTTGAATTCTTTGTAGTCAAACCACTCTTGTTGAAAGCAATCCTAAAACTTATCTTTAGAGTGTTTTAGAAGCACTTCCATTATAAAATCAAATAGTATAAAACTAATGCTTCTTTTAGCAATTTTCACTCTTTCAAAAGCTTATTCACTGCTTCAAAAGAAAATTAAAAAAGAAAAATTAAAAAGGAAAAAGGAAAAAGAAAATAAAAAGCTTCATAGAAAGCAAGCTATAACTTTAGAAAATTGAATAAGCATGAAAAACTTGCACCTTTCTTCATTGTTTTATAAGAGAATAAGCATTACATTTTCCAATAATTTGTGAACCAAAACAATGAAATAGAAAACAGGTGTCACTGTAAGTGTACAAAATTAGAAGTGCTGAGAGTAACTTACATGTTACTGTAGTCTGTACAATACAACAACAGCATCAACTGGGAGAGGAGTGTGCTTGGAAGCAATGTGCCTGTAATCTTAACTCTTGAAATATACTTCTGCAGTTGAAGATTCAAAAAGAACGCCTCACGATTTCGGTCCCTTTGGGCATCCGAACGGGGCAGCTATAATGACATAACTTACATGAACACTATGATTTCAACTGGTCTCAATTCCATAGCCACCTTATTTCCCAATGGATTTGAGAAGCAAATTTATCTTCACGATAAGAAGGAACTCTCGACAACGAACGAGAACCCAGTAAGCTTCGGATCGAACTTTTTGCAATGGCAGTGGCTTTACTAACTTGTATTTTTTCTATGTCATTCCCACCAGTGATTAATTGGCCTGTTTTCTTGTTATTTTGATCAGAATGGCTTTGCCTAAAACTATGAGAACTAAGAGCTTGGCCTTCATGGAGGACAGAGTTTAGCTGATAATGCTGGTTTGACACTTTTGGTATTCTCTCTACCACAGGCTGTGTAGGCTGATCTTCTTTGTGGGAAACTTGCTCGAAATGTCTGGGCGCTGAAGCACGTTCGTCTGCACTGCAGTTTAAAATCTGAGAGTTTTTTGCTCCATTTTGCATCTTCTCTATCAAATGATTATAAGATGGATGGTTAGAAGTGTCGTAGCTTTGAAGGTCACCGTCGTAAGAGATGCGGGGTGTTTCATCTATGCCAGGCCCTGGTTTCCACTCGGGTACCAAGGAAGCGATTTCCCCATCGATTTTTTCGGCTATCTTGGTCACATCTTGGTCAGTAATATCAAGCTCTGCTATCATTTCAGTGGCAACTGTTAATGCTGTATCCATCTTGGTGTCAAATGGGAAATATATGTTTCGAATTCGTCCTGCACAGATACCGCATTGTTCGGTAACATTTTTGCAACAATTAATATAAAGCAAGCATTCCACAACCAAAGATGAAAGGAGGAAAATAAATTTGATTCTACCTTCTTTATCTGCAATCCTAAGTCTTAAAACAATACTGCCATCTTCTCTTATCTTCCCCGTAATACTGTTATCAACATTTTCCAATTGGTCATCATCATCATCCTCAAAAAGTTCAGTCCCGTCTGGTTCAGTTTCAACGATACGGCACCTCCATTCATCTGAGGTGTCCAAACTGTAATTGATTGAGCTGAAACTTATTTCTCGTTCAAGAAAAGGCTGCACTATAGTAGAAGCAATACGGTCAAGTTCTCCCTGACAATCTGAAATTTTCGACTTGCTTTCACAATCATCAATTTGTAGAAAAGGATCACTCAAAAGCTCCCTCGCCGAAAGTCTATATGGAACTGGTGCTAAGCATTTCTCGACGAATTGCCGCATGCTTGGATCCTTCACTTTATACAAGGCAGCTGGTTTTTCCCCCTACAAGTAGAAAACATGTTAGGGAATCCACTTTTCTCTTCCCTCAGATGAAGATTAAAGAGAAATACATGCCCGTTGAGAGAGGGAGATCTTACAGAAGTTACTTTCTTATAGATTTGAACAGGATGATTACATTCACTATATGGATATTCAAATGTAACCATCTCCAAAACACACATCCCAAAAGAATAAATGTCTACCAATTCATTGTATGCCTCTTCATACACTTCAGGAGCCATGAACTCTGGTGTCCCTGTAATGTAATAGCAACAATAAGCCAAAAGAGCTAAGGATAACATGGTAAAAGAATTGATGACACCACACCATCTCCTTTCCAATCTTCCTTTCTAGAAATCGAAGTTACTGCAAAGATTTCACAGAATTTGAAGGAGATAAACATACCGACGCAGCGATCAGCATGTGATTTCCTGAGAATCGCAGCAAGACCAAGATCACCAATCTTAATTTCTCCTTGGTTACCATTAACAAAAATATTGTCACACTTGAGATCTCTGTGGATCACAGGGGGGTCCTGGCTATGGAGATAGAGAAGAGCCCTCAAGATCTGTCTACACCATCGCTTCACCGCTCTATTGTTAACTCTACGATGCTTTAGCCGAAACCTATCAGAACCAAACAGAAACTAATTTAAACATAAGTCTAAAAGGAAGCAAGCAAGAATTATTAGAATACAGAATCAAGGGTGTAAGAAGAATGTTCAAGAGCATTCTTACTGCCTCAAAGACCCAGAAGTGAACATTTCAGTTACAAAGTTGATGTTCCTATTTGCAGTATCGACCCAAGAAGTATAGAATTTCATAATGTTCTTATGTTTCAGTGTTTTTAAAAGATGAATCTCAGAGTATAGCCTCTCAAGATCTTCAGGGCATTGGAGTAAGTTACAGAGTTTGACCTGGTTCCAAGCAACTTCAATCCCTTCATACTCATCAAATGCTCTGTAACTGCACCAACAGGACACCCCCAAAAACAGAAATGAATGAAATGGACAAAATCAAACACCTAGAAGACAACAAAGTTGGGAATTCGAGGAAACATGGGAAATGGCCAAAATAAAAACAAAACGAAGAAAAATCAAACCGCGCAGAAGGGATCAAATTCACAAATGGAAAATGTGTCTGAAATGATAAGCAAATTGAGACCTGAAATCCGCGAATGGACATTAATTACAAAAAATGCGAAGGAGGCGAAACTCATACACTGTCTTGGAAGCCCCTTTGCCAAGGATTTCATTGTACTGCAACAAAGAAAAGCGAAAGAATCAGAGCCGGAGCGGATGAACACAGAAGAGAGAGAGAGAGAGAGAGAGAGAGCGGTACTCTTCCATATCTGCCAGACGGATCAATTTCAACATAGCGAGAGGAATCTGGGTGATGAAGATTTGAAAACCCATCGATGGATTCGTCTTTCTCCATATATTTTGAATTTGAGAGCTTCGGTTGTTGGTCGGCGTTGGAATTTCAAGTTGCTTCAGTTCCTCAGTTTTTGGGGACACGCCTATATGGAGAGCACATCTTTTGCAGAACAGCAAGAAGAGGAAAAGGTGCTCAATGAAAGTGACAGCCTTTTTTCCTTTTTTCTTTTTTTCTTTCTTTTTTCTTTTTTTCTCTTTTTGAAACAAAAAGTGACAGCTTCGTTTTTGTGCGAGTAAATTTCTTCCCCTCGTTTCTCACTAGTCATTACAACTGTCGAACCATGTAATTATACCTTCGAATTTAATGTTACATGTTTATTTAGAAAGTTCTTAAAACTTTGAATTGTGATTTTTGCAAACCTTAAATTAAATTAAAGTGCGTACTAGTTTTACAAATGACATGATGAGAACAATATGCTAGGGAAGAAATTCGAATTCACAACTTTTTGATTGAAGACATATGTCAATTCCTACGAAGCTATACTCGAAAAGTATAGTTTATATGTTATAAACTTATACAATGTATTAGAATATATATATATATTAAATTTCACATGCGATCTTTGAATTGAAATAGAAAAAGGTGTATTAACAAAATAGTGGACATAAATATGAATAATAAGAATTTTAAACTTATTTAAAAGTTATGAAATTCTTTTTTTAGTATAACTTGTGGGATGTGGATTGGAATTATAATCTTTTGATTGGTGATAGATGTCTTAACCAGTTGAAGTATATTTAAGTTAGCAAAAGTAGTGAAATAATTATTTAAGGCCCGTTTGATAACCATTTTAGTTTTTTGTTTTTGGTTTTTGTTGTTTTTAGTTTTTGGTTTTTGGTTTTCTGTTTTTAAAAAACAAAAACTATATATGTTTGATAACCATTTTTTATTTTTTGTTTTTAAAAAACAGAAAACCAAAACATGTTTTGTAACATTTTTAGTTTTTAGTTTTTGAAAAGTTAGAAAATTGAAAATAGATAGAGAGAGAAAATTTTATGTTGAGTAGAGATGACAATGATGTGGGTGCGAGTAAGGATATTCTCCCCCATTCTCGCGTGCTCGTGAAAATTTTTAGTCTCCATCTCCACCTCGTTCTTGGATCCGAGAGATGTTCTCAAGAAAAATTATCGGTTTTATAATTGTTTTTAATTATTTTTAGAATTTAAGTATAAAAAAAGTGTAACAAATATATATTAATTATTTAAAAAATGGAATCGGGGACGAGGATGAGGTCGGGACATGCATTTCCTATTTTTGGGACCCGACCCTCCCATAAATTTTGTCTTCCCCTAATGTAAGTTTAAAGATATGTAAATAAACTTTTGGAAGATAAATTTTAAAGAGATAAATAAAAATATTTAGAAAAAAAATAGTGAAAGAAAAGTTAAAGAAAAAAACAGAAAAAGAATAAAGTCGAGGGGAAAATATATGTAAAAGAAAAAAAGAAATTATAAAGAAAGAGAAAAATTACAGTGGAAACAAATTTAGAAATAAAAACAAGATTCAAAATATAATTTTTAGAGATAATGAATAAATACAAAGATAAATAAAAGTTATAGTAAAAGAAAATTGAACGAAAAAATAAAATATAATTTTCAGAGAAAAAATAAATTACGAAGAGAATGAAAAATTATAAAAGATGAAATTTTAGAAAGAAAAAAAATTAGGAAAAATATTAAATTTTTAGGGAGAGTAATGAAACTGGTATGCTAGAAAAAACAAAAATTCATAAAATTTTGGAGAGACTAATAATAATAATTATTTAAAATATGAAACTTTTAAAAAGAGAAAAATAAAGTTTGTAGAGAGAAATTTTAGAAATAAAAAAATTTTAGAGTGAAAAATAAATTTTTTGGAGATAAATATGTGAAAGAAAAAAAGTTGAGTATTAGAAGAAAAAAATCATATTTTGAAAAACAAAAACCTGTTTTTGAAAACTATATATATATATTTTTTAAATTTACCTAGAATTTCAAAATGGTTTTTGAAAAATAAAAAACAGAAAATTGAATTGGTTATGAAACAACCATGTTTTTCAAAAACCAAAAACCAAAAACGAAAAGGTTATCAAATGATCCCTTAATTTAAATAACTTTTTTATGAACTAGTAAGAAACACGTGCGTTTCACGTAGAATCTTGTAGTTCTAAATTAAAGTAAAATAAATAGTGTTTTTTAAGTTTATAATATTATTATTTTAAAGAAACAAAGTGATTATATATAAATATAAATTCAAGGTATGATATTGTTGTAATAAAAGAAGATGATGAAATATTAGCATGGAAAGTAAGTACAAATTTGAAGTGTAAGAAAGATGAAAAAGCACCAACGTGCAAGTTTTTTTTTTTTTTTAATGAATGAACGTTCTTAATTTACCTCTAATTTTCTTGATTATAAATTATTATATTATATTTTATCTTTGTTAAATTGTGTGACATTAAATCATTGAGTTTGTTCATTTTAGAATGAAAAAGAAAGGTAAGAGTGAGAGAAAGAGTAAACCCTAAAAGGTCCAACCTGATGATATTGAGAGGGATAAAAATTGTTTGTTTGCCCTAACTTTGTAAAAATAATTACAACATTTCACATATATAAATAAAAAGCATCAGTTTAAAAAATGAATAATCGAATTTTGCTTTATCTCGATTCCATCGACCACCATCTCGACACATCGTACTCTAGAATTTTTTTCAATCTGAACAATGATAAATTTGGGGAAAGTGAACCGATGCCATCAACTCAGCTTTAATTTGGTTTCTCTTCACTATCAATTCTCATCTCGATCACCCATATGTGCATTGTTGTTGTCGTTGCTAAAGCAAAGAGAATAATTTTCATACCTTCACACCACTTGGAAAATTTTCCACTTTGTTCCATCCACCACCTCTTGATTTTTGGTTGGCATGAGAAAGAGAGGACACATATTTATATATGGATTGGAAGGGGATTAGGAAGATGAAAGGATTGGGAGAGGATATGTGGTAGATGAAAGGAGTTAAAAAAAATCAATGAGAAAGATAAAGTTAATGAAAGAAAAATTAAGAGAGAGAAGATTAGTAAGAGAAAATAGGGGAATTTAGAGGGATGGGATCATGATGAAGAGAAGAGATAAATTGAGAGAGAAAGTTTGTATTTAAATGATACAATTGCCATCAAAAGAAAAATGAAGAGAGTTATAATAAGAGGACAAAAATGGTATATAGAAGTTTCTCCTCATCCTACCTTTTATATATACTATAGGTATCTTAGATGTTTATAATGTTTATGTAAAATTTATCCACGTATTTTCATCACATTTAAAACCATGGTGATTTAGATGTTAGGAAAATATGTTGTAGGTATAAACTCTCTAACTAATAAATATATTACAATTTAATTGACTACAAATGATTATGGAGCTGGTTAGTGTAAATCAAACTAAATACTGTGAATATATTAAAAATACATCGAACTAAAATTGAACCAGATGAGAAATACAGTAGTTGATACACCATAAACTATTATAATGATAACAACAACAGTAGCAATGACAAACAAACAAATTGAACTTGAAGAGCACCAAAAACGATGAATAGTCTGAGGCACAATTCAAAAATACTGACTTGAAGAAAATTGTTCTAGCAGATTACAACGATTTTTTTAATAGGATATAACGACTAACTCTGATAGAACATCCACCTTGAACTACTCAAGTCTAACAGAATACTTAGATACTTTCTCTCAATATAAACATCAACAACAAGATAAAAGAAGGGATAATTCTGGTGATAGAATGAGAAAAACTCGAATGTAAGATATTTGCATACATCAAATGAACACATCAACAACTATATATAGTTGTAAAAATTTGTCTAATTAATCCTCACCAAGAATTAACTCAACTTTAACACAAAATAATGAAACAATTACACTCTAAAGGTAATTAATTACATCGGTTCAAATACAGAATATAAAGAGACATTCATAGTGTGTATGTGAACAAATAAGTAGAACATAGATAGTAAAAAATAATATTTAAATTCTTAATAGTTAATGAATTTAATTTTCGGAAATTAAATTTGTAATTACTCAATCTTTCTCTAAATCTCATCGAAATCTAACCATCCATTTCTTTCACAAATTTACAACAAAATCCAACAATTGAGTTTTTCTTTTTCTTTTTTTAAACCAGGCAGGATGTGAGGATTCAAATTTCAATTCTTTTTTAGAAATTTCTGACGTCTTAACTCGCTAAGCTATACTAAGATCGACGTATTATTGTGACAAATGAATATAGTATCGAATTGGGAGCTCTGTCGAGGCGAAGAGACTTGCTCAAGAAGCAAGTCTGACTTCAATTCAACACGTTGGGGCCAATTGGAAATGACACGGCACACCAAATTGCGCATTAGACGATGGAGAAGGAGAAGACGATGATATGGGAATGTTGTTAGCGAGATTCTCTAGTTGGTTTTATTTTATTTTCTTACACGCTCCTATTCCAACTTCTTCGAAGCCGCTGATAGTACAATCAGAGGCAATGATTTTATTTTACCTCTATTCTTAGAAAAAAATTATCTATTGCTTAATCATTTAGGAGCTTATTTGATAACCATTTCGTTTTTAGTTGCTACTTTTAAAAATTATGTTGGTTTCCTCACAAAAATTAGCTTAAATTTTGATAATGTTCTTAAAAATGAGATAAAAATTCAAAGAAACACATGGATACACTTTAGAAAACAAAAAACAAAATCATTATCAAATGGGTTCTTAACGTTAGAATATTAAAATAGGGTAAAATAGATATGAATGTTAAATAAAAATAAAGGCACGTTGTTGTTGAAGTTTGAGGAATGATGCATAGAGGCACACACCTTTTGCAGACCAAATCAACTATGGAGAAACTTGGCTAGAGGCCTGCAGATGGGGTCAATTATCTCTAATTAATTTATACGCTCAAATCTGTAGCATTGAATATAAAATTAAGTTGAGTCGTGGTTTCTTCCTCATTTTTATATTCACAATGCTTGCTTGTCAAAATCAATCATCACCATCATCATTTCTCTTCTTCCATTATTGGACAATGATTATCCAAGAGCAATCAAACACTTGAACAATAATTATACTTCAAGCGATTGATTAAATATG